TTCTATATTGTGCTACATAATTCAGTGCATTAAGAGAAATTTCCAGATAATTTCAGGTGCCCAGTCAGCTAAATTCTCTCCTGTTTGAAATCATCGTCATCATCCCATGTGAATTTTCTATTTCTTCTATTGTTTAAACCATTTCGTTTCAACTCCAGACTGTCATTGTAGCAGCTTTGACATCAACCATGGCGGCATATTTTATATGGTGGAATTTAAATTGTATGATATATTAGCGAGTACGTTTACTTGCAGTTACTCAAAAAATCTTCATTGTCAGGTCATGTGAAATCTATACTGACACAATTGAATTAACTGTTTTTCTCTTTTTTATTGATTTTTTTTTCAGATATTCATTGGTTTCATTAATACCTCGGTCATTATGCTGTTGTATCGAAACTATTTCATAACTGAGGCCCAAGGTGTCCCCCAGGAATTTGTCCTTGAACATAGTTGCTAAGATATATGTCTAATGAATGACAAAGGCATTCAATCACTTAAAAGGTCAAGGTTCAGAAATTCAGATGGGGAACGTGTGTTCTCTTAGAACAATGATTTGTACATTATTTGAGAGCTTTTACATCTTGGTTGTATTCTCGGAGCTCAATGGACAGTGAAATTTCACAAATGGGACTCTAATCCATTTTGAACATCTTACTTCAAAATTATTTGACTGTGAAATCAAGACACTGATACTGAGGTATCTTTTAAAATAACAGTACATCAGTACATCTGGAATCTAACGGCTAGAGATGACCTTTCAAACTGATTGACTAGTTTTAGTGTATTTACGATTTACAGGTTTTAGACTGAAATTGTAAAACTACTGTTGTTTCTTTGACACAGAATTTATATTTGTGTTCGTGTGATTTGTCTGAATAACAGTACCATCACAGTAAATTTCCGTGTGGGAAGGCCACTTCAGCATAAAAAGCTATGTATAGAAATAAAGACAGACAGAACTGTTAAGAATGAACTGATAAGATTGTAAGAAAAAGTGCTTGTACATGTATACAAATACATGAGAATTTATATTTGTTTGTGGAAATGTATACCTCCATATCCATGTAGTATGTATGTCTGCACTGATATAATATGGTATAAGTGCAGATATGTACATAAAGCGGCAAGCATGCATACCCTTAAATGGGAATAACGTATATACATACACGTACATGTACACCCACAGGCACACATATGCATTTATATTTATATATATGTGTTTGCTTGTGGATTTATGAATACCTGTATAAACATAAAGATATATGTATGTGTAATATATTTCATCGTCAAGCTCTTGAAGAAGTTTTCGTATTTCATCTTCAGTCAGACCTATTTTCCTTTTTGGCATATTGCTAGAAAAATGCCAAAATAATTCCTAAAAAACTTACGAAAATATGCAATATTCTAAAGCAATGCAAGGCTCTGTTTACAATTTACAAATGCAGTTATTGCAAATTCTGTAGCTATGTAGCTACAGAACTAATAGAGAAAAATTGGGAAAATCCGGATTCTTAACACAAAGACCTTTGAAAGAGATAAAGTGGTTAAAACCCCAGGGACGTCAAATTTGACATTTCACCCCACTCTTTCAGCCTGGAAAATGGGGGGAAAAAGACATAGCCACTAAAGCGGGCAAACCCATCCTTTCAAACAGAGGACTCAATGGCCACTATAATGGCCATCCCATCTTCAAAAGGTTAATTGCTTGTTTGTTCTCTTCAGGCCTTCTGCAAGTATAGTAAAAAGCATCCAACTTTTTGAAACATCTTGATATTTCTGACATTCATTTTAAATAAAGTTATCGCCTTCCATTTCATAAAGGCCCACAATGGCCGAGCGGTAAAGTCGCTGAACACTGGTAGTTCGCTCGGGGGTTCAAATCTCTGCAAACGGGATGGTTGCATGGACGTTTTCGTGGTTTTTGTCATGTATAATGTGTATACAAGCTGGTTTCCCTTAGAAAGTTCTTCCCGAATGCATCCCTCCTTTTAGGCAGATAGCCCTGCTTTGCCTTAACTTAATAATCCAGTTCAATCCATTTCATCAGTAGTTGGTCAAAGCCTCAGTTTTTAGAGGCTAGGTATTTTGAAGGCATGAGATGAAAGGAAAGACTGGTTTCATCAAGAGGGAAACTGTCTTTAGATGACATCCATATACGTCACTGGATAAATTCCTGAATCTTCAAATAATTCGACAGAGAAATCTATGGGATTCTCCGTTTTATGATACGATATGTTGCTCTATGATGTAATTTACACAGCTATTTAGTCGAAAACCAGTCGCTCTTCACTTTAATCTGCAATAATATCGTTTTTGTCTTTTCCGTTAGCATAAACTGAGTTGCTAATATTTGTTGGTGTACACATCGAAGTGTTTTCTCTTTGAACACCCAACTCGGTTCGTCGGGGTAAAGGTAAAACAAAACAAGTTTGTTAATCAAAATTCATTAAAGTTTTATAAAATATGAAATAAATAATAAAACAAATTTAAAAAATTCAGAATTCGGTCTTCTAGGTTCACATGTTCAGAAGAAAGTCTACATTATTCAAAATTTGAAGGTCGGGTACCGTTGCTATTTCATAGTGCGAAGCACGTACCTACAACATGCAGATTTTTTCTTTTTTAATTTCCTTAAAAATAATACAGGACTATAATATTTGGTAGCAACAATTTGAAAACTGATAAGTTGTTGTGTTTTTTTTTTTTTTTTTCCCTGACACCAGTGGTTATGTTATTTTCTTCCTCATGTTCGTACGGGGTTTGTGTGGATTTGGAGTGAATAACGACAACACTTGATGAAGTATCGAAACACACTTTATTAGCTGATATTCATCAGAACAGCTCCAAAGTCACTTTTTACAGTCGTCGAAGATCTTCAATAAACACGCTGGAACAATTAGCGACACAGCCTTCACACTGTCAGGCAATAACGGTGGAGACAGCTTCACTGCAAAGCACCAGAGTACAGCTCCTGACTCTGCTCAGTCGTTCTCGGAACTCCATGTACTCTTGAGACTGTCCACGCTACAATTAGCGATGCACTGGATGACACACAGAGCACAGCTCCCGACTCTTTGATTCAGTCGTTCCCAGAGCTTAACAAACTCTCTCGACGATGCACTAACTGCGATAACTGCAGCGCGCAATGAACTGGAAGTTGCTCTGTCAGCACTATCCTTATCTTCAGGGCAGATATTTTTATTTTATTCGGCTTATAATTCCTTACTAAATGTAGTATTTCATCTCGAAGTACTCCGTCTTTGATATGATTTAAATCAAATTCCTCGTCATTATAAATATCACGAATACACATCAAATAGTTTTCTGGTTACAATATTCTAATTTCGACTATGCGTAATGTATGCTTTACGCATGCGTGCATTGAAAGAAATGTTTAGTAAAGTAAACAAATAAATATTAAGCTTTTTTTTTTTTGTAAATTTTGATACCCTTTAGATCATAATTGCTCTTTATTTCATAAATTACGGTTTCATATTTTTAATTTTATAATTTCTGCATGCCATCTTACCAGATTTAAACTGATGATCTATAATCCGGAAAAACCGATAATCCAGAATCGTCGAAGTCCCGACAAGTCCGGATTAAAGACTTTTGATTTTGATTGTATATATATATATTTTTTAAAGTTGGGACATGACCCAAACTGTTTGCTTAAAAATAAACATTATTTGTTTATTTTTAAGCAAACAGTTTTGGAAAATAAACATTAAACAAACTTTTTCAGTTTTAGACAGTTCAATTTAAATGCAGTTAAAGTAAAGTAGCAGACGATAACATGACGAAGGTAAAAATTTTTACTCTTAGAAATATTAAAAAAAATAAATAAATAAAGGAAGAAATTAAAAAAAAGTTAAAAATTTGAATAATATCATCTATAATTTAAAAAAATAGCTTTTCATATAGTATTAATAAATATTTATTACGAATCTTTCAGAAAAAAATTTCATATAATTAATTCTCCATAAAAATTTAGGGTTAAAAATAGCTGTGACAATTCACTGTAACAAAAAATCTATAAACCACATTTGGCATTATTGTTGCTAAAAAAAAAAAGATGCCAAATTTCAAAATGCGAAAATATGAAAATTCATATTTATCTTAGAAAATTTAGAATAAAAAAACTCTAATTTTTTTTGCAGGTATGCTTAGAACTATACTTCTTTCTTTAATATGATGGTAAAACTTTTGTAGGTTATAATTTAAAATGTTTTTCAAAAAATTTATAAAAATTATTTAAAAACAGAAATTTAAAAAATAAAACACTAATAATGGGTTACTTTTATTTGGAATGAACCTAAATTTCGAAATGTAAAAGGAAAAATCAAATCATTTGCGGTTTTGCAGCTGAAGATGGTGGTTCGGTAAAACCATCGAAACTAGTCCTGTGAAAATTTGGTAAATATAACGCTGATTTTTGTTGTTTGACTTCTGAATTAGTATTTATTCGGCGTGTTATTGTGTCTTAATTAAAAAAAGAGATATTAAATAATATGCCAAATAAATATATGCCAAATTCAATTAACATTGAGGAGAAAATTTTGAGAGCAAGTTTTTTTAAAAACTACTCATACGATTTTTACAAAACTTGCCAGTCTAGCATAATTTGAGTTGCAGAATCGAAATATGGAAAAAAATTGGTATTTTATTTCAGAAAAAGTCTGATTTTGTGTCAAAATACCTATATTAGATAGTGCATTTTATATAAATCTAATATATATCCTAAGTCACACTTTCGAGACATGAAAAATGAAAAACGCAATTTGAATCAGCCCAATAGAACGGAATATACTGTCCAAATTTTTTTTTCGCAGTGTACAATGCATTTATTCTTTCATATTGATTAAGAAATAAATGTATAGTAATTAACACTTATGTATTTTAAGTTTTTTAGAAAGACTCTATATAAATACTTACAAGTAGCAATTGTATTAGAAATATTTTATCGTGAATTAAATATTACCCACCTTTATTTCTAGGACGAAATAATGAAATTAAAAAGTCACAATAAAAGAATGCTACATTTTCCACCTTTGGAGCAGGTGAGTATTTTTTCATAATTTTAAATCTGAATTTTACAGTTTGTAATTTTAGAGGTGTATTATCGCATGCATGTAGAAAACAAAAGCTTATAAAGCTGAGTTTGAATGAAATGAGCAGATCATTAAAATTTTATGTATTTTAGTATAGAAACATTCTGTGTTGATAAAATGCATATGTGTATGCAGTAGAATGATCAATATAATTTTAGTGCATCATTAATAAATTTAATAAATTAATAATTTTTCGTAAATCAGCTTAATAAATGAATAGCTTCTGTTAATAAATAATTACAACTTCATTACCAATATAATATAATAATAAACTATTTATGTCATATGCATCAAATAAAATATTTAATTTTTAATATCAATTATTAAAAAATAAAGTATCTTTTATTCTCTGGATTTCAGCACATCAAACAATTTTATTTGTGTACTTTTTATGGTTTTTTTCAGCAAAATTTTATTTTAACCAACTGTCTATTTTTTATCTTCTGATGCATTTTAATTACTTAATAGTCTCTTAAGCAGTTACTAAAAATGAAAGCATATATTATAGTAAGAAACTATTATAAAACTGAATAAAATTTTCCTGAACTAGCAATAGCTTATGCAAGAAGAATAACAGCACAGCTATAATTCTCAGGCAATGAAAACTTACCATAAAAATGGTCTACTTATTTTGTTACTGTTGGAGGAAACGCTTCCTCCCCTTTTTTTCCAGTTTTTAAAAACTACCAAGTTTTGCAGTTTTATGTGATGCTTATTTTTTATGGTATATATCTTTATCAGTTTGATTATATATTTTTTGTTTGGATATTGCTACTGTTTTTAACTTATGATACAAATCTAGATGCATTTCTTGTATCTAATTATGCTAAGTTCTCACATAGTCAGTAGTTTTTCTGATTGTTTTTAAAGTTCATCTTTTTATTACTCAAGCATGCATCTCATTTTGAAATCATCAGGATTTTTTAATTTTAACTAATATACTTTTCCAATATGTAAGTGATATACTTTTCAAAGTATATAAACTTTGTACTTATCATCCATATTTTTTATTTTACTCTGAAGTCATCATTGTGCTAGATAAATTATTATCATTTATTGCATTTCATGGTAAACTTTAGAATGGTGCAGAATAACCATATGGGGTTTTGTTCTAAAACCCGAATGAACCATTAGAAATATGAGACTGACAGGAAACCATTTTAAAATTGAAGGAACATTTGATACCCAAAATGATTAGTGATGGTATATCAGTATTTTTCCTACATATAATTTTGTACATGCATTTTTTGTAAATTTGTTTTGCACACTTTTTAGTCCAAAGGGGATTTGTCCCTGAAGGACTATTGTTTTCGTTTTGCGATTTTGCGTTGAATCACTATAAATGCCCGTTTCACTTTTCAAACTGTTGTCACCAAATGTTAGAGTCTGCATTATGTTTGAAGGAGTTAAATAATGAAAAATCTGCATAAATGTATGTATATTTCTCGCATTGTGATAAAACAACGGTACATAGAGCCATCGAATTTTGAATGATGTAATCCTCCTACGAATATGGGTATGTGGAAGATCAAATTTGGAATTTGTTTTATGATCGATTTCATATTTTGTAAAATTTTAACAAATTTTTGAGTAACAAACTCAACGATTTAAAAGCGAGCAATGGCAACACTCTACGAGGAAAGAAAAAACCTTTTTATCTCCAGCGCGCGGAACCGTGTATCAGAAATCCTAAAGATATGCTCATTATAAAATTACTTTGCAACATTGCTATTGAACTGAATTTTTATGGTTTAAGTGCAAAGAACGTGATATTTAATAAATAAAGGTAACACACAGTTAAAAAAATGCTCCTTTGGATGTAATTTAAAATCTGAAACTATTCAGATTTTTTTTTAAATTTTATTTTTTACGTATTTGTATGTATTATATGTTTATAGATATTTTTTCTTTTATACATATTTTCTACATGTTTTATATTTGTTTATCATTTTTTAGACTTTTCGGTGTGATTACATTTCTTGGTTGTTTTTCGTTAGGAACTGTAGTCAAAATAATCAAATCATTAAAAGAATCTAATATTTTTACTCACTTCTCTGTAAAAAAATTAATATTTTGGTCTTTGTTGATTACTTTAGATGGGTGAAAGGAGGCTTCTCCATTTCTAGATATAAATTAGCTTGTACTTTTAATTTACCGATGACAAAGGAATAGTAACAGTTTCATGTTTTATTTATTTAATTACCTACAGTAGAGGACACCTGTTATATTTTTTATTCTTGTGTTTATGACCGAGCAGAGTCTAATAGATGCATTTCATCTATAAATAATCGTACTCGGATGGCATTTTATATTCTTAAATAAACTAAAATCTAAGATTAACATAAGGTTGCAAATAAATGCATATTTTATACATAAATATCCTGTCAACCATGTTGTGCTTATGGCACAAGTTAATACTGTGAGTTTTTGAATTCCATCTACAATAAAGTTCATTCCATATCTAAACTGAAACTCATTTGATATGAGGTGTCTCCTCTGTCTGATGATGTTTTCAGTTTCTTTTTGCAACATTTGTTATGTCTCTTCCCTTCATGGGAAAGAATACATTTCTCATGAGTCACTTGAAATAGACCTCTAAGACTTTTTCTCCAGTAAGCACAGTTTCTTTAGAAATGGCATAAAAGCATATTACAATGTTAGAAGAATGTATTAATTAAAAAAGAGAATATATACATAGTTATTACACTGGTAGTTTAATTATTTTTTATTTCTTTAAAATCTATCTAAAAGAACATTACTTATGGGATGACTTAATAATATATAGATGTTTTATGTATATTCTAATCTGAGGAATTAAGCTTGATAAAAGTTAGTTTCCATATTCTTTAAGATTCAATAGATATTTTAATTGTAAAAGAAGGGGTTGAATGTTAGATCTTTAGATCTTAAGTAAAGAATGTACAGTTAAACCTCATTATCAGGTCATCAGATTAGGTCACTTTGTTTATTAAAATTAGACTTTTCATATCCCTAGAAATTCCTTTTTCATTTCCATATAATGCACATTGGACTTGGGCTGTCAAGTCACAATCAAACTGTTGATGGAAAAAAAAATATTATTCATTCTGCAGAGGGAAAGCATTTCAAGGTTTTTTACCTTTTCATTCAAAATATTTTTCTGAATTGCAAATACATTCCTTAGAAATGGTTCACCATTGGCCAAGCGGTAAAGTTGCTGAACACTGATAGTTCAACATGGGCTCATATTAAGCAAATAGTCCTAGCATACTTTGCAATAATCAAATTAACCAAAGTAAACTATTCCTTAGAAATCTATTTAATCAATTTGCATCAGTCAAATGTATGCTGGCCATTTCTTTAAGGAGTAAATACACATACTTTCTATATTTCATTGCAGCTGCTATTGTAACCCCTTTGCTGTCCAAGAAATTGTTCCCACATTTTGAAAGAAACCAAGAAATTATTCTCGTCTCATATCTTTCTTGATTTTTAGACATAAGGTTAGTATAATGTTGATTAGAAGAAAGAAATTAGTAACAATGGAATTTCAAAATGTGAGCATGAGAAAATTTCTCCAAGTCACAATCAAAATGGTATTTTGAAGAGCACAAGCTGTCTTTAAAAAAAATCATAAAAAATGCTTTAGAATATATGTATCAATAAAGTCTTTTATTTGTAATTTTATTTTCTAAAGCTGATTTGTGCTGAAAAAAGATTTAGTCTTACATGTCCAAATAACTGTCACTTCAGATAATTTTTTGCTGGTAGCAAAAGTGACTCTTAATGAGGTTTTATTAATTGTACATGCTTAAGTATGGAAAGTACTTACATATTGATAATATGTTCAAAAATTTGCAATTAAACATATTAAAACACAGATATAATACACTTTATTAATCTGCATAAAATATACATAAAAATATAATTATAAATTATACAAAACAAATTAAAGCATAAAATATATTTGTGTACAATATTTCCTTGTGTATTTTTCTCCCTAGCTTTTTAATACCAGGTTCTGAAAATTAAAAAAAAATATTCATGCCATTTTTTGCTTCCTCAGTCCATTCAGAGAACGAGCGCCCCTAAATTTTTTAAAATGGATTCATCCATGTTGTGTTTATTGTTGTCTTACTAACAAATAAAAACCTATGCAAGCTACCTGCAAAGATTATGCTGAACTTTCCCTTCCAACTGTCGAACTCTATGCTAGCCTTGTAGAAGAATTGACCCATCATGGCCAGGCAAATGCTAACCAACATTTAGTGTATTATTTAACTAAGTCAGCTACACATTTACCATAATTAATTTATTTATGGATAATTTGAGGCCTAAGGTGGTAACAGAGACAATAATAAGAACAAACTAGATTCAAGTTATAGAGAATTAGAAATGAAGATGTCTTATTAAAATTATACTGTGAATATTACTGTGCATTTCTTATTGGAATATAAGTTTCTTTTTAAAGATATAATGTTGTAATAATTGCCTGTAGTTTATTTATGTGTACTTTTCATTTGGTACGTTCTTACTGTAAGTTACTTACTTACTTACTGTTCTTACATCCGTCAGAATTTAAATTATTCACATGGTTTTCCCCACTAAATTTTTGGACGGTAAAATTAGTAAAAAAAAGGGGGGAGTACACAAGGAAATACAGTACTCTAGTTTCTACTTTCTATTTTGTTTTTTAAGTATTTTTGCTATTTTTCTTTTATACATGTTTATCTATATTCCCATTAATGAGACTTTTGTGACCATACATTTTATCTTTTATTAGACGATTCCGCAAAGTTCAACTTCTAATTCAATACGACCAAATACAATGAGGTTAGTAATATTATTTGGAAATCATGTTCGTTTGGGCTCAAATCCCAGTGAACATAAATGGAAAATGTATGTTGAAGTCGATGAAGGTGACAGCCCATTGACTACTGTAGCTTGTATAAAAGAAGTTAGCTTCGAGTGTCGGCATGCAGGATTACCACTTTCGAGAATAACTCAGGTATATTAATTGTATTTTTATCATATGTGTATTTGAATTTAAAACATTTTGCTAAAATAGTAGTTTAGTTAATAGTAATTCTTTGTTCTTGATAGATAAAAATGTAGACTCTTAGCGATATGTTAAAACTGAGTTATTTTCAGAGGGTATTGACGGCTTCTAGATAGTCATGTAAAGATTGAGATGTTTAATGATATGACACAGTGAAAGCCTGACTATCCAACCTTCAACTAACCGGAATATTTCAGAAAAATTTTTTCCTGAAAATTTTGGTAAATGAGAGGTTTGTAATGTCATTATAGAGCTCATAACACTATTAACACACATGTGTTGTAGCCAAACAGTGTGATTTAGCGCCAGTGATGGACAAGCAACAATGCCATAAGAAGTTCATTTTGGTTTAATGTAAATTTGATTAATTCTGGATAAGTTGGTTTAATTTTTATAAAGAAAGATATAAGTTCTATTTATTTTCCTTTCGTGTTGAAAAATAACTAATATTTGGGACTGGATTAATATTTAGAAGTGGATTACTTTCAAAGTTATAGAATTCAGTCATAAAACAAGCCATAATATGTGACTTTGAAAATAGATAAATAATGGCTATGTAACATGAAAAATTACAATAAGTGATTTAACTTTTTAATGTGCTATATCTGTAATTTGATCTCTTTATTAGCTAACTAAATAAAGAATAATCTGTTCGTTTAAACTTTTACCAGAACAACTGGCAAGATCTCTGCCCAACTTGCACATTTGGTTGGATTTCATAATGTATTGTATTTAATGTTTTACTTTCATGTTTAAGGCCTATGAAATATATCGGCTTATATGTTTATGTTTCAAATGCCTTTTTTTAAAAATCTTGTTGTAATTTAAAATGAAGGCTTTTGATATTCAAAACAAATAAGATGATTATTTTTATAATTTTAGAGCGGAAAAGTTTCCCATTGATTTGGTCTTTCTAACACGAAAGTGTTACTGGCCACTTCTTGCCAATCTTACTCAATCAATAAAGCATAAGTGGCCAGAACCTTATGCTTTATTGATTGAGTAAGATTGGCAAATTTTAGTCCACTTGTATACCCCGAAACCAGGTTAAAAGTGTATGGTAAAAGGTAAAAAGTGTACAATGTCCATATCAGAATGACTGATAAAATTTCATAAAGATGCAACATTATTCATATTATCATCAGAATTTATTTACTCAAGTTGCATATGCATATGGGAAAATATTACAGCATTTCCAAAAACGAAATAAAAAGAGCTCTGAGCAGTGTACCTCCAAACATCAAGTCTCAGAGTGTCAGTGAACACTGACTCCTGTTCCTTTCTTTCCCACCCAAGCCACATCACCACCTCTCCTCCTTTGCTTTCATTTGAGGTGCACCTTTTCAGAATGTGGTCCAGTGATTGTTATACAATAAAATACAGGTTTTTAAAGATTTAAAACTAGAAATCTGGGCAATTTGAATTCATTAACATTCAGCTTTCATATTTTGGGAGAAAATTCAGAATGGAAAACAAAAAAACAAAAACAAAACAAAAAACAAACCAAAAAAAAAAAAAAAAAAAAAAAAATATTAACATTGCTTAAGAATTATTTTGAAAGAAAAATATTTTTTAAATGTTTATTGTTCAATATTTATGATTTAATATAACTATGTATAAATAATTTTTCTTTTTTCCCCCTCCCGAAAGCCTCCTTTTGTCATGGATAGATGGTGCGTCGGAATAAAACCCGATACTGCCGTCACATGTATTGTGACATATGAAGTGAGCTACTGAAATTTTTTTCTTCATTATTAGAATATTTTGAATTGAAAATATTTTTATTAAGTAAAATGTCTTATTGGCATTGATTTTATAAAAAAATACTCATGCTAATTTCAAGGGAGTCAATTGTAAAATCCCTCTCCTTCAAATAGCAAAAGCATACTGTGCCAGGGAAGGCTCACTTCAAGTAAAAAATTTTCCATACATTGCCATTCAACATTGAAAGTTTTCATTTTTACTTCCTTGTACGAAGTAAAAAGGAAGTATTGTAATCGCGAAAAGTTTCAGGCAGCATATTTCAACGAAAATATCAATTTTGACTGCAATCGAAAGCAATTTAACGATGTTTTTGCGTGATATCTGTACGTAAGGGCAGAATAAAATACTCTTTTCCTTCAAAAAAATTATAAAACTGCTTTAAAATGAATTCTGAAGATGAATTTTCGTGGCGTCTGTACGAACGTATGTACGTACGTACATATCTTGCATAACTCAAAAAACGAGTAGCCTCAGAACATTGAAATTTTGTATCTAGGACTGCTACAATACGTAGATGTGCACCTCGTATTTTGGTTGCAATCGGCCGCACCAAACGTATATAAATATATTTATATATATATCCACTCTGTTACCCGGCTCAGTGATCTCCATTTCTTTACTCTTATATGTTTGTAAATTGTAAATTTTTTGCTTTAAAAATGATTGAATTATGTTGTTCTTATCTTCCGGTTAAGGTTTTTATGCCTTTAGTAAATCTGTATGCAATATTTTTAGAATTATCAACAATTTTAAAGTTGTTTAAGTGGCACTAAGCCTAATACTTTTTTTGACAGGCGGCCATTGTTTGTTTACATTTGAAACAGCAGGATAGTGGATTTGTTGCTAATCTAGAGAAACTTAGCTTCGCAACAACAAAGATAACACCTTCATTTATTATTATCATTGCCAATTAAATCATGGTTAATCCTTTCTGGAATTTTTTCAAGGAAATAAGTGTTTAAGATTTACTTCGTAATTCTTAATATAGATATTTTGAGTTTTTATGTATTTTTGCCTTCTCGCGAAGTGAGAACTGAATTAATTGAATGAGAAATACTCAATCGTCTGTGAAAAACTTTCTTTTTTGTTTTGTTTGCTTAATTTCTTTTATACATCATTCTAGCTTTATTATAGTATTTGAATAGAACATGTGGAAACAATTAGATAATTCTATTCTTTAAATGATATAAATTTTGTGCATTCTGAGTTATAATATGAACAAAATATAATACTGTTAAGTGAACCTAGCGCCAGAGTGTCGCTATGGTAAACAAAGTGAATTTTAAAGAATGCATTTATTCTATTGTGGTTTATGTGCTGTCGGCGAAGTAGATTTAATTCAATCAAATAAGTTTAAATGAAATGCAAGAAAAAATACGTATAATTTAATATTCCATACAAGGAAGTCATGTGGTGTACACATCAGATTTTTCATTTGAAAATTTCTAAATGATGTACTTGATTATTAAAATAACCTCCAATTTTTATTTTTAGTCTATTGTGAAAAAGCCAAGGTTCACTCAGCATTTACATCAAGTTGCTGCTGAAGGAAATACATCTATGCAAAAAGAAGTAAACCTCACACTTCGTGGGCTACCTCACACGGACAAGAAACGACGTGCACAGCATTGCAGAAGTGCTCCTATCTTACCAGAAGTTTGGCAGAATCGTTTCTTTCCAGAATCTTTCTCTTTACCACCTGAGAAAACAGGTATTGGCTATATACACTAATACCTATCATATAAAATGCTTTCAGATTTATTTTTCATTCATTCAAGTATCAAAATCTTGGGTAGTTTGCATTTTCATTTACTATTTATTTTTGGAAATATTATAAATGTTTTACAATTATGTAAGCTTAGATAGTAGATTTTTGCATTAGTTTTTAGGTAGAGGCTTGGTATCTAAAATTAGGATAATAAATACAAACTGTAACTCAAAACTTTGAACTAACCAAATTTTATCCATTTTTTAAAATTAAAAATTTACCCATTTTATCCATATTTGTCTGAATGATTTCCCTGACAACAATCACCATTCCATACATAGAAACCAGACTTAAAAATGCATATTTTCTATTTGCTTCAAAAAATAGCAATGTCCACCATTTGTTAATTAGATAATTTTCTCATATTCTCAATTTTTAAGGCCTTTTTCTGGAATTCAAGTATTTTATTACACTCTAAGTTTTAGAAATTATATGATATATCAAGGTATTAATTTCAATTATCCTCAAAAACACTTTATTATGCTATTTTTAAATCTCTTTGCATTTCTAATCTTTTTTTATTATTATTAAATAGTACTCTTGATTACATCTCATTTTGAAATGCATGTTCAAAATAGATGATAAATGTCATTTATTATCAGTAGGGGGCAGGGGGGAATCTCCATATCTGAAATCCATGTGACATTAAGCAAAATGTTACTACTAAGTTATCCCAGTCTTTATTTAATGACAAATTTCTGACAATCATGTAATCATGATTCATCAGTGCAGTTAGAATTCATAATATTAAATTTAAAACTTTCTAGAATAAACTAGGCACTATTTCATAACTAAAATGTATAGCTTTGGCCACTTTATGATTTTACATTTATTTTGAAACAGGTTTGCGATAAATGAAAATCAACTTTTTATCATTGAATATAAGCAATATTTATTCACAGTTTCAGTATTTAGTGTTTCCAACTTTAATTACAGCAGTAATTCTATGTTGCATAATAGCCACTAGATTATGACATTCTCCTACATTTATAACATTTCAAAATTGTTCAAAAGCATTTTTGAGGGAAATTTTAGATGCTATTGGAGAGTGGCATAGCTTTCACTTTAAAAGACCTATAACTGTTTTACCTGGCTAAGATCTGGAGACTGTGATGGTCAGTCTAAAAGATCAATTTGATTATGAAGAGTCTGGTGCATTGAAGTTATCTATTCCTAGCAGGGTGTGTTATCTTGCTAAAACTTGATGCCATCCATGTTTGTATCACCAAATAATTTTACAAAAGAATGGTTTGGTTCAAGTCTGGTTTCAAGAACATTGGTATATTTCCAGCTAATCATGTGGCCTTCACAAGTGCCCATTTTGCCTGCATGAAAGTACATTTAACCCCTACAAATCCTCAGATCATAAAACTGCATCCTCCATTTTTTTTTTTTTTTTTTTTTTTTTTTTTTTTTACAGTGGGAACTGCATACTCTGTTGTATTCTTTACCATTTCTTTGTCTCATAAAGGATGTCTTAGGTGTAACAAACACCAAAATTCGACATAGTTCTTTTTTCTATTTAAGTGTAAAACTTGTTTTCTTAAAAACATCTTAAATTATATTGTACAGCATACTGTAAGCTTGTAGGATTTTAGGCAGTCTCTATTTGAGTTTCTATTATTTAAAAACAAGATATAGTACCATTGTTGAACATTTAGATTCTTTACGCTTTGGCAGTTTTTGTAAGGATTACTCTTAATTTTCAAATTATCAACTAACTAGCACAATGCAGTAATAAAACTTAACACTAAAGCAAAGTAGCCTGGCCACTTTTGACAAAACTCATTTTGTTTTTAAAGAAAATGATAAAAATAAATTAAAGAATTGTTCCTTTGCTTTATTTTGTTAGATTGTTATTCATATAAAAATTAATTCATAATTTTATGCAAATAAACATTTTTGCGACTGACTGCTACTTCCAGTTCATGTACTTAAGATAGAAGTCAAATTAGCCTAGATTAAATAATCTTCTTAGGAGTTAATTGAATTGAATAAGGTGGATATTGTTTAACAAATATTAAGAGTATTATGTGGAGTGTAATTGTTCACCTCTTTTGTGAAGGGGGGCAGAAATTGGGCTCCACACTCATTAAAAAATCAGCGTCGCCATTCAGGACAAGACATTTATTCCTACTCACTATACATATACTATGATACAGAAAAACTAGAAAGATTTTCCAGCGCCATCTCTCAGCAGCAGTGGAGGTCATAATAGTAATTGATGATATCAGACATTTAGTTCTTGCTATATTAAGATGCTATTGTTCTTTCCCTTTCTTTAATCACTTAGTTAACTATTCTTGTTATCTAAATTTATTGTGTTAAATAATGCTTTCAGCTATCTTCCATATCTTGGCGAAGTATTACCAATAAAATATTCTTTGTGTGTCTGCTAGTAGAATTGCAGCCAAGGTATTATAACTAATTTTATGTCTGCAAAAATTCTTAAGGAAGATGGTTTTTTACACACAAATTCTGACTGTATTATTAAAGATAAGCAAGAGTCTTTTAATATCTTAAATACTGTGCAGTTTTTTGATAAAGTTTAGAAGAGAGTTTCAACAAATTATCTGGAAAGGAATTTCTTTATGAATTTAAGTATAATTTTGAAGACTTTTCCTAATGTAGCATTTGTCTTTAAAAATAAATAAATAATAAAAAAGTATATTAAAAAAACTTAGCCACAGAGTCTGGGTAGGAAATAATTAGTAAAGATGACACCATGAATTTCCTAATTAATTTAGGAAGGAGGCACAAAGACAGTTTTCAATTGAAGATTTAGAAGAATAGATAGAACATTGTGATGCATCTGAAGAGGTAAAGACATATATATATATATAAACAGAATAAACTAAAAAGTCATTTTCATGGAATTTGTAATGTAATGAAAACTAATCGTACAGTTTATTAGTTAATTGATTAAGGCAAAGCAGCCTAGAGGAAAAAATTGTAAAGGAATTTTTTAGGGAAAACTAGCTTGTATCTATGTAACACATGTGGAAAACTCCCATGCAACCAGCCTTTTCACCAAGATTTGATCCCAGATCATTCAGCAACTTTAGAAGCTTGGTCTAATCTTGAAAGCAAACATTATAGTTGAAGAATGTCTTAGAACTAGCAATGAAGTAACTGTCTTAGGAAGAATTTTATAATCAAATGACTACTTATTCAAAGCAGCCAAGTTTCAATTGGTCCAGTTAAAATTTCAATTTTTGCCAACCCTGATTTCTGATAAAAATTATCTTTTTGTGGCTATTAGTTAATTACACTGCATTCTTTATTTAAAGAATCTTTTAATATATGGTATCTTTCTTTAAATTTCAGCAAGTAGCTGCTCTAGTCAATCTCATTTTCAGTTTTGTAAAAATATACTTCCTCTACATAACATTATCATTATTAGAGAATTATGATTAATTTTTATAACATGCATATCAGCAATTTGCTTAAATTTATATTGCTATGCTTTATATTTTTCTTTAACTAAGTTTGCCATTCTGTTGTTAAAATATGAATGCTACCATACATGTATAAATTTTTTTGCTAATGTTTTCCTGTTTTACACACATTTGAGGTACTTTACAAAATATTCAGAATAAAAAATGCAGTTTATTTCATTAAATTTTTAGATCATTAGATTTACACAATATTATAAACTATTCATACACTGAAGTGACAAAAGTCATGGGATAGCAATATGCAAATATACAGATGGCAATAGTATCAAGTAGAAAATGTATAAACGCGAAGTCCTTTGGCAGGGCTTTCATTTGTGTTCAAGTTATTCATGTGAAGAGGCTTTGACGTGATTATGGCCACACGACGAGAATTAACAGACTTTGAATGCGGAATGGTAGTTGGAGCTAGATGCATGGGTCATTCCATTTCGGATATCGTTAGGGAATTCAACATTCCGAGATCCACAGTGTCAAGAGTATCTAATTTCAGGCATAACATCCCACCATGGACAGCGCAGTGGCCGATTACCTGCACTTAACGACCGAGACCAGCGACGTTGGCGTAAAGCTGTCAATGTTCACAGACAAGCAACACTGCGTCAAATAACCGCAGAAATCAATGTGGGACGTACAAGGTACGTGTCCGATAGGACAGTGCGGTGAAATATGTCTTCCTTGTGCTATGCCAGCAGAAGACTGACTCGAGTGCTTTTACTGACAGCACGACATCGCCTGCAGTGACTCTCGTGGGCTCGTGAGCATATTGGTTGGTCCCTAAACAAATGGAAAACCGTGGATTGGTCAGATGAGTCACGATTTCAGTTGGTAAGAGCTGATGTTAGGGTTCGAGTGTGGTGCAGACCCCACGAAGCCATGGACCCAAGTTGTCAACAAGGCACTGTTCAAGCTGGTGGTGGTTCCATAATGGTCTGGGCTGTTTTTACATGGCATGGACTTGGTCCTCTGCTGCAACTGAACCGATCATTGACTGGAAATGGATACCTTCAGCTACTTGGAGATCACTTACAGCCATTTATGGACTTCACGTACTCAAACAACGATGGGATTTTTATGGATGACAATGCACCATGTCACTGGGCCACAATTATTCATGATTGGTTAGAAGAACATTCTGGACAATTCCAGCAAATGATCTGGCCACCTAGATCGCCCGACATGAATCCCATCGAACATTTATGGGACATCATTGAGAGATCAGTTCGTGCCCAAAACCCTGTACCGTCAACACTTTCACAATTATGGACGTCTATAGAGGCAGCATGGCTTAATATTCCTGCAGGGGACTTCCGACGACTTGTTGAGTCCATGCCACGTCGAGTTGCTGCACTTCGTCAGGCAAAAGGAGGATCGACAAAATATTAGGAGGTATCCCATGACTTTTGTCACTTCAGTGTATATTCATAATAGTTCTCCATTTTAGAATGAAATATCCATTTATTAAAAGGGCATAAGAGTTTATATGCTTTTTATGTTACATCAAGATAGCATTTAGATATTAATTTTTTTGGCTATTAATCTGCAAAATAATTATTTGCACAAATGATTAGTGCTTGAATTTTATTTTAGAAAAAGGCACCTGGGCTAAAGTTGTTGCAGGAGAGACTACGATTCCACCATTGCAGAAAAATAAAAAATTTGGGGGCTTTGAAGATTCTGGTTCAAGTAGTGATGGAGAAAGTATATTTGAGAGCATGAAGAGCATTGGTAGACAGCTTCTTGAAGACACACAACCAAGGGCTAGATTAAAAAAAGTTTCATTTACACTACATGAATCCAGTTCATCAGAATCAATAGGAAGTGATTCTGCCCAGTTTTCATCTAAAGTTTTTCGAGAAAGACGTTGTAGCACACCATCTTGTCGGCCTCGTTTCAAGTACAGACATTCTGCTAGTGATTCAGGCTTTCCCATCAACAAGGATATCAAATCAAAGTTTGATAAGGACTCCCGTTTTGTTAAGTTTCGTGAATGCCGCATACGCCTTCAGAGTGAAGTTGATAGATTCATGAGTGGTGACAAAGAAGATGCATCTTTTGAATCTGTTGCTAGGAAAGCTAAGGAAGTATTTAGTGAGCCTGTGGAAGATGCTTTTGGTGAGTTTCCCCTTCATTTTCGGAGACACAATAGGGGTCTTAGAGGCCAGGATAGGGGGAATTTATTCCAGCCAGAAAAAGGAGAACCAAAACTACGATCATGGAGTTTAGATAGAAACGCTTTGTGACAATAAGTACTTTAAATATTAAATTCATTGAGCATTTTCTTTGACTGCTTTTTGAAAAGCACATTTACAAATGGAGCCATTAGAAAGAAGTGGTTAAAGGCTTTCTTTGCAGTATTTTTATGCAACAAAATAGCTAAATTTTCCCATATTACCTCATTGGTTATCATAAAGAAAGCTATATAACAGTATTTCTGCCATTATTTTCAAATAACTATGCAGGAGTTATTGCAGAACTAGTCAAAAATATTGTGCAATCAATTTTTGCATTCTAAATGAAATATATGGAAATGCTTGTATAATAATCAGCACTTTCTTGATAAATATGACTATTGTTGCCTATATATCGCATAACTCAACTCAAGACATTCTAAAGTAATTGTTTAAACAAATTAAAGCAATTTGAGATTAATTAAATCATGAAACTAAATTGGATGGACTAATTCTTAAGCAAAATTTCAAAATATTTGAATTATGCATCATTTTTATGTTTTATCATCATCTATGCTTCTTTTGAATATTTTTTGAATCCTACCCTCAAAAGAATCGAATTTTTATTTGAATTGTAGTTTTTATTTTGGAATGAAATACAGTACAAAGTCCGAAATCTAAACATCTAACATCTGGGATGATCCAAAATCCAGACTTCCAAATCACCAACAGTCTTTTTTTTTTTTTTTTTTTTTTTTTTTTTTAGAAATTTGTTAAAATGCTGTGCATTTGCACGCATTTGATATTTTTTATAATAAAGCAATAAAATAAATGTTTGAATTTAGGGAGGCACTTGGCAGCATAATTTTGGACCTGCAGAGACTGCACAGGGCTACAAAATGTCTAGTGTCAGCCCTAGATAAGCCTTGAAGTTTATGTGAGAATTTATTTGGTTTCAGATAAGCATGTGTAGGAGAGTTATAAGTATAATAAATAACCAGAGTAATATAAGTCAGGTTTAACTTCGTCAGTGTGCGGCAAGACAAAATTTAGTGGAACAACATGTGAATCTCTAGTCTTATGGTACATCACCAGTAGTTTTATGATAATAGCTGTGAATTTGAAGATTTTCAGATATCAGAAAACAAAAGGCAAAATTTTCCATTTAATGGAAATTGTGAAGAAAGTAACAAAATGGTAATTAATGATGATAACAGAAGTTTTTCATTGCACTCACAATGCAGTCGACTAACAAATGGCAAAACCTGTAGCTTGGTTCTAAATAATCAGATAAATCAGAAAATATCACTAGTGATGGTGAAGAACGCGACTGAGAGGTTGCTAAGAATGAAAATATTTTGATCAACAATTTAGTAAGAATTCTCAACATGGTAATTACAGGAATTTTACAATGGAATTTTGTAACTGAACAAGAAATTATGCCTGTCTATAGAATTAGAGAAAGAATAAACACAAAAAATTAATATTGAACCTTTTTTGTGTAAATTTTATTCCATTAAGGTCAGAAATGCTTCATTTTTTTCATATTTCTAATTTTATAATTTCTGCATGTCATCTTACTAGATTTAAACTGATGATCTAACATGTAGGAGAATCTTAAATCCAGAATTGCTGAAGTCCCTGATAAATCCAGATTATGGACTTTGTACTGTACATAAGTTATTCTGTTGCTCATGTTATTGCTATTTAAAATACTTTAAATGATTTATTTAAATTATCTGTTTAAAAGTCTTAATTAAGTAGTATAAAATTAATTAAGTAATATAAAACTGTCTGTTTGCATAAACAAACAATAATGTAAAATTTTAAATTTAATTCACATTATTAATTTTTATAAAAGTTTATGTCTGAGGTTTTATTATCTTGAATAGTACATTGTAATTTGAAAACCTTAATTTCCAGTTTGATAATAATTGTCATCCCATTGTATATATAATGAACTAAATTATTCATGTACAAAATTTCTTGTATTACTTTCCATGAGTATAAACAAAATTTAAAATTTAATACCATTTTCAACATGAAGATAAAATTCTCAGTTCTCAGTAAATTAGTAGCAATTCAATTATTTATTAAAGGCTGAACAATTTATCTTGCTGTTTCTTTCTTTTGAAAAATCATATTATGTGTGTTGTATGGAAAGTGTACATCTTAAATATAGGGTGGGACATAAATTTTTGTACTTTTGAAAATGCTATTAAAAATGATAAACTTTGGTATAACAGAATTAAACATGTCTGAGAGTTTAATTTTTAAAAATAACACTGCCAGAAATGACCATATTCATGACTTTGTCTGTCTTGCAATGAACACAAAGGTTTTGGTAAACATGCTGACACACTGCACATGTAATTGCTACTGTCTCATCATTAATATGTTCTTCCATTTGGGTTTTACTGTCAGTTTACTTTTGCATACCCTTATTTTAAGATAATAATTAATATGAAAAAGATCCAGGTTCTTGGAGGCTAAGAGAAATTTTCTGTATGGGAAATCACTATTGAGGAATACTTTTTTTAACCAAAGATATGGCACAGCTTTCACATTCTTATAACTTTGGTGCCAGATATTCCAGAAAGATTTCACTTATTCAGCTGAAGTTAAAAGCAAAATTATTTCCCTGATCTCAAAGAAATACGGACCGATTATGCCTTCAAATGATATGCTCACCCACAATATTGTTTTAGGTGAATCGTGTTTATGGATTGTCAGGTTTGAATCTTGGAAAATAGGCATTTTTATGGTTTTCTTCATGTGTAATGTGGATACAAGCAAATTTCTGTTAAAAAGGCTTCACCAAAGACATCTCTTCGATTAGGCAGATAAAACCAAAACCTTTAGGGACTGTCAAATCTTTTCTAAAAACTTAGCCATCCTACTTGTTTTCAGACCACTTGTGTCTGAATTTCCTGGCCCATGATTTAATTAACCTTGCAACATTGATTAATGTTGTGCAAATCATAGCATAACCAATACAAGCAACCTAGGACTATAATAAGAATTGTTATTTTTGTAAAAGTATTATGCAAGACTGTTCAACCATGAAGGGTACCATGGTAACTAAAATTCAAAGAACTCGCATATTGCTACTATCGTTCATTCAGCCTCTCTCTAATATTTTTTAGAAAAATCGGACTGTCATTTGCAAATAATTTATAGCCCACCTTATATTTTAAAAGTATTATGCATCTTCAGTAAATCTATCCCATATTTTTTATAACACAAAATTTTAACTTTTTTTACATGTAAATGTTTTTTAATTAGATGTAATAGTTAAAAACAGCTACATAGTCATTTTATGTCAACTTTCTAAATTATCACAATTTTTAATTATAGCACATTTAGGAAGTATTTTGAGTTTGCCATTGAGCCTCTAGTTTTTTCTAATGCAAATGCATTAAATTAATATCGGAAAGTTTAGAACAAAATATCTTCTATTTGTATATATATTTATTTTTAAATTAAAAAACTAGCCACTTTTATGTTTGTGAGTTTTATTTACATTATTTATAGGTTAAAACAGGATTATTTGTCTAATAAACCTAAATATTTTCTTTCATGGGCAGTGAATTGGAAAACTTTGCATTCTTTTTAACATTTGGCTTCTTTTAATATTCTGTACAATTTAAAGAAAATTTAGCAATTGGAAACATATACAGTGGAACTATGAATGCTTCACTTCATGACCAAATTGTGTTAACAAAAACTGCATCAGATGACTAATGGTATCTCGAGTTATGAACATTGACGTCAGCAACATATGATTTCCAAAGTTATATTGAGTTAATTTGTACCACAAATTAACACTCAGGTTCAGAAAATATTTTAATATTTTCAGTTGCTGCCAGGCTTTTTTAATAAAAGTTAAGCAAGTAATTTAAAGGATCATAATATTTTCAGAAGAGGAAGAAAGGAAATTTATCCCAGTTTTCTGATTCGTGAAATTTGTTCAAAATGGTATATGATATTAAGTTTTCACATAATCATCCTGATAAAAAAGTAGCAAGTTAGAACATAAATATTTTCATTGTCAATCTTGCTTTAGAAATATTTTCAAATGCAGGCAATAAATAATCACATTGGACAAATTTTAAGTGAAGCAGAGACCCAACGAGTCAATGATTTCAATGAATTTTGTGTTATGAACTTATGCACAAAGTATTGTACAGTTTAAATTAAGCAGTCATGGCCCAGGAACTAATTAATCATGTTACATTAATTCCTATCGGGAAAATTGTTTTGGCTGACTAGCAGCTTTCAGGAGTGAATTAAATCTGTGTATCAAGATTTCAGTGTAATTTATAATAGTTTACAAATACACATGCCTTATGTTTCCTATGTTCTCTCTTACATATTTTTGCTTTGCTCAAGCCCAATGCATCTTTCTCATCCTTTACCATTCTCAGCTGCAAAATAAACTATATTATCCTAAATTTGATAATTAAAAATGTTTGGCTGAGTGCTTATAACTAGCAAAACTTTTTTTTTTTTTTGGTACTTTCTGAGTAACTGCTCAACCCCTTCAAAGTTCTCAATTTTTCGTAATTATTTTTTCACCAACTTAGTATGTGAACAACAACAGCCATTTTAAAAATTGATGATATACTGATAATTATATAAAGCAGCGATAAATTAACAAAATTAAAAATGCAAGAAACGTTCTTAATGAAAGAGCAACAAATTAACTAAATCAAAATCACAACAAATATTCATAGTCAAAATTGCAGAATTCTTGACATCGCTGAGCAACTTGACACTGCTGTCCATGTGCATGTCCAGTTTGTTTCAACTTAGAAAAGCATTTGTCTAATTTGAAAGAAAAGAATAAAAAATTGCTTAAAAAGCTATTATCACTTAAAAACAAAAAGTGCACTTATTTGGTAAAAGCTAATATCGCAGTCACCTAAGAACAAACGATAAATAAACATCCATAATGGAATACTTAAAAAAATATGTAAAAAAATTCATAATAAAGCAATGAAAATTGAAAAACACAATATTTCTGAAAAATGCCAATATTTTCTTCTTCATTAGCAGAAAAATCCACAGTGGCATTACTATTCCTTATAAGGGCAGGGGGGGGGAATCATACACTCTAACCACAAAGATGACATCCGAATTATATTGTTATGAACTTTGTATACAAGTAAATAATTTTTGTGAAATTGTAGTTTTTTTTTTCATGTAATGTAACATGAAATCTAAAGAGGCGATGCTTTGGCAGAAGAGTATGAATACAGGGGCAAATCTAACACTATGTTAATGGTTATCTCACAATTTTGGCTAGATATCGCCAAGCTATTGACTGTTTCGGCGACTAATTGTGTCACCAAACTTGGCTACATTTGGGTCCAGTCTCTGTATCACTAAAATGTATATTATAACTGAATAACTAATTGATTCTATATATAGCTGTAACCATATTTGGTCCTCGTACGTTTCCAGTAATTTCGGGAATAACTAGAAATTTCTCGGTGGCAGGGTGTAAACTACACTCTTAGACACCCTCCCCCCAAAAAAAAACGCACCAAGGAGTTATCCGAATGGGACGAAAATCGGTAGAAGTGATGTACATGTACAGAAAACAAATGATTACAGTTTGAGAAAAATTGGATGATTTATTGAAGTGATAGAGCTTCACAAAGTGAAAAAGTCAGTAATGCGTTTGTCCACCTTTGGCCCTTCTGGTTGGAGGGCCTTGCCCATGATTCTCAAAACGTGCTCAATGGGAGAGAGATCCGGCAACCTTGCTGGCCAAGGTAATGTTTAACAAGCACTAAGGCAAGCAGTATAAACATGTGCAGTGTGGGGGCAGGCATTATCTTGCTGAAATGTAAGCCCAAGGTGGCATGACATAAAGGGCAACACAACGGGCCTTAGAACTTCGTCGACGTACTGCTGTGCTGTAAGGCTGCGACGGATGACAACCAAAGGGGTCCTGCTATGAAATGAAATGGCACCCCAGACCATCACTCCTGGTTGTCGGCCTGTCTGACGGAAGAGTCAGGTTGGTATCACACCACTGTCCGGGGCGTCTCCAGACTCGCCTTCATTGGTCATCAGGGCTCAGTTCAAAGCGAGACTCATCACTGAAGACTATTCTACTCCAGTCAGTGACATTCCAGTGCAGATGAGCCCGACACTGCTGCAAACGGGTTTGACATTGTAAAGGCCAATGGTAGTCGGCACTCGTGACCCCTTTCTGTGAGTTGTCTATGAATGGTCCTTGCGGTCACTGAAGCACTAGTTGCACATACAACTGTTGATAATGATGCACCTGGGGCTGTGAGTGCAGCTTTAACGATTGTTCGGTCTTCACGTTCTGTCGTTTCTCTAGGCCTACCGCTTCTTCTTGACACTGTGTGCGGCCATGGTTCACCCATTCCTGCCAACGTCGTCTAATAACAATCGCTCTTGCTTAAATGTTGAGCTATTTGCCGATAAGACCAACTGGCTTCTTTGAGCCCAACTACACTACCTCTCTCAAATTCCGACATCTGCGCATATCGTCTGTGCACCTGTACGCGAGGCATAGTTACTGTTTACCAGAGTACACAGAATGAAATTCGTGAAGAATTTATGACCTAGAATCGTAATTTCTTCTCTTAAATATCCTGCCAGTTGTGCAGATCAGATGCACTGTAGCGACAACCATTCATTCATTGACAGCCAAAATGTAAGATTTTGCATTTTCCGTCGAAACCTGTATATATATATCACTTTGTGTCCAATTTGCCTTATATCGTCTCGGTGCGTCATTTTTTTTTTTTTTTTTTGTCCAAGAGTGTATATAAGACCAGAGAAGATCTGCTCTCATTTGCTAGCTGTAAGTTCAGTGTTGACTACGGAGTAATGAGATATCCGTGTGAGCTTCACTCTTTAAGGGTGCTTTGCATTGCATTGTGTTTAACATTCTCAGTGATTTGAAGTGCAACTTCTGGTTTTACTCTGTGATACTGAAGAGATGTACGAGTATTTTTGTAAAAAGTTTCAGAACTGTGAAGTGTTTCTTTTGTGAAATAAATTTTATCAAGCTAGTATCAGTTCCATGTGCATTCAATCTATTACGAACCTGTAAGCACCCAACGATTTTGGTATCAGAAGTGAGACTGAATATTGGTGACAAAAGCAATGGAAGAGAAACTAAGACAGCTGGTAACTGCCGAGTGCCATTTGGGGTGACAATAAGTCTTTTTTTTTTTTTTTTTTTACCCCTACTACCAAACATAAAAGAAATTAATCTGCTAAAATTGTGGTTCACTTGCACAAATGAAGTGCCAGAGCTCTTTTAATTAGGGCTCCGGCTGAAATTATAATTTATCTCGAAAACTGCGAAGTCCCAGAGCCGAGCTCCGGTGCAATTTAAGCTCTGGTGTAACTGCATGGTGTTTAAGATTCTGAAACAATACTAAACTTCATGTTTTTTTTTAAGAATTCAAGAGCTGGATAAAGCAAGTAGTTTGATTTTTATAATTAAGGAGAAATTAAATTTTTGAAAGCAAGGAAAAAATTGAATCTCAAAAGTAAAATCCTGAAATTAAATCCTATCCTTGATACAGAAGAAATCCTCAGAGTCTGTGGTAGGCTCAGCAATTCAAATCTTTCAGAAAACACCAGACTGGTGAAATGATAGTAGACACTTTTACGAAGTGAACAGATGCAGAGGAGTTACATTAATATTATCAGCTGTGCAAGAAAAATATTGGATTGTTAACGGCCGAGAAATTGCAAGAAAAATAATTTGGAAATGTGCGAAATGTTTTAAAAATTGAACAACTAACACCAGTCAGATAATGGCCAACCTCCCAGCTTCTCATGTAGTTCTGGATAGAGCATTCTTGAATACAGGACTAGATTTTGCAGGACTGTTTCCTGACTAAAGCTTAAAGGAAGAGGTGGAATGACGTATAAATGCTATGTGTCCTTTACATATGCTTCATAACAACAGAAGCATTTATAACATCTCTGAAAAGATTTGCATCACACAAGAAGACCCAAGAAAAATTTTTCAGTTACAGGAACCAACTTTGTTGGTGCTTTCTGTTAATTAAAAAGATACATACTATAATTTTTTCTGAGGAAGCATTTCAAAACGAAAATATTCACTGGACCTTCAACTCTCCTGCTACCCCTGACTTTGGCAGCTTGTGAGAGGCTGTGTGAAGCAAATAAAGATTCATTTAAAGCAAACTATGCACTCACGAAGAGTTTCACTCCCTTAGTTACACAAATCCAGGTGTGTTTCAATTTCAGGCCAGTAGCTTCCATCTCGTCTGACCATGAAGATTTTAGTCCTATAACACTGGGGCATTTCCTAATTGGGACTACACTAACAGCAGTTCCTGAACCCATCTTACTAATAAATAACTCCTGCTGGAAGATCAAAACTGACCCAGCAAATATTCTAGAGCTTCTGGAAATGCTGGTCTAAGGATTATTGTTCCCAGTTACAAGGACGTACCAAATGGTTGAGGGGTAAACT